GGAGCCCTGCCTGCTGCGGCCATCGCCCCGCGGGACCGACCGCGCCGCCGTTCGTCCAGGTACTGGAGCGGGGGGCGCACCGCCAACCTCTTTGTTTCGAGCTGGAGCCAGCGTCCGCTCCAGGGGCTTGGGGCGCGCGGGCAAACGGAGCTCCGCGCGCATGGGGACCTGAGCTGGGGCAAGCGGGGACCGAGAGCTCGGCCGGGATCCGGGGTACCAGGGAGCAGGACTTAGGGACGGAGGCGGGTGAACGCGGCGAGGGAGCGGGCGGGCTCGGCCAGGGTCCCGGACGCGGTTTGGGGACTGGGGCGCGGGGACAGCGCTGTGGCGGGCGGATGCAGCCGGGGAGCAGGCCAGCTCGATCGGGGGCCCGCGGGCCAGAGCGGCACTGTTGCGGCGGCGCCCGGGTGAACTTCGCTCTCCAGGACGCGTCCCGACACTCCGCAGCTGAGAGCCGAGCTTGGAGCTCCAATGGGAAGGCTCAGGACCCTTCTCCCGCTCGTTGCAAGCAGGCTTTCCGGTGCGTCTCTCTTTCCCTTTCCCTGTGTTGGGCTGGAAGCGGGGGGTCCCTTGGTGCCTCCTTCCTAACTTCTGAAGGAGCGGGAACCAGGCCGGGGGCGTGCGTGGCAGAGGCCACCTGTGGCACGTGCCTGCTGGCACGCCGGCGCTGTAGCTGACAGGCAGGAAGAGGGAGGGTCTGGGACTCGGTGGGCGCCGTCGGGGTCTGATAAATGAGCCGGGGTCGTTTGCTTGAACTGATTTGAAAATCTGTGTGGCGGGAAGGGGCTGAAGAGCTCCACTCCAATTCTTGAAAGAGCGCTGGTTAAAAAATAAAAGCCTATGGGATGTGGGGCCTGCGGAGACCACTATTGATGGAGGTCACTGCCCACTTAGAAGCACCCCCAGACCCCTAGGGTGTCCCTGTCCTTCACACGCTTTGATCTGCTGGCAGTTCCCCCTCCCCCCAATTGTCTCTCCCTGTAACGTGAACCCATGATCATGGAGGACTCTAAATATACTGAAAATTTGATTGAAAATTATCATTGCATCCATATCACTTAGCCCTTCAGAACTAACCATCTTGGCATTTTGGTGGTCAGTGGATACTATTTTTTTGAAGTGCTTTAGTTCATTGCCTTTTGAAAGAGATATTTATGTCCTTGTGATTCTTCCCCTCTTTAGGGCCTGGGAGGTTATATTTGCAAATCAATCAACAAGTATTAAGAAAGGCATTTCTGTGCAGAGGCCTGGAGGGGTGAGGGAGTCGCTGCAGCTGGAGGATAGAGGGGGCTTGGCCAGTCTGCAGGGAATGAGGGGAACTTTGTGCACAGGGAGCGGACTGTGGGAACTGGCAGAAGGCCAGACTCCTGACCTCAAAGACAAAGTAATAGTAATCTTCGTAATTTTACAAAGTAATAGTGACCCCAGAGGCAAAGTAACAACATGGTCGTAGTAAATCCTACATGTTTGCTTGTGCTAAATGCTTTGCATACATGCATTGCATTTGCTCAAATAACAACCTTTGGAGGGAGCTGGGATAATTGCTCCATCTTACAGATGTGCAAACTGTGAGGGAAAGAAAGGCTAAATATCTTGCCCAAGTTGTTGCTCAATCAACGTGGGGGTGAAGCCCATGGTTTGTCCAGGACAGTGAAATTCCAGGGCCCTGAAGTTGCTGCTGCTTGTCTGTCAAGTGGATGCATGTCCTGACAGCAAATTTCTCAGCCGAGGTGTCACAGTTATCAGCAGCAGCAGCAGATGAATTATTTCTTTACAAACCCTGGAGACGATAGAAAAAGGAGTAGCCTCCGGGAGCACTCCTGGATGCAAATTGACTTGGCTTTTTAAAAAAATGTAGCTTTGGCACCTCTTGGTTTTAAATGGAGCAGTTTGCAAAGGTGACCCTGGGAGCTAAATGTCACCAGGTCAAAGTCTGTTCGTGGGCTGCAGGAGGTATTACTGATGGGATTAAAAATGGCCTGGGAAGAAGGCACAAGGCAAGAACAGAGAGGGGAAAGACTGAGAGGGGAACGATTTCTGACCTACCATGTGGCAATGGCAGCTTGTACGCAAGGCCCAAGGCCTATTTTACAGATGAGTATGTTTGTTAAAGGGCAGAATGTTTAGGGACCAGATCAGACCCAGTCCTCTGGCTCTCCGTGCCTGCAGTACTCCTTCTCTAGGGTCTGCTGCTGCTGCTGCTAAGTCGCTTCAGTCGTGTCCGACTCTGTGCGACCCCATAGACGGCAGCCCACCAGGCTCGCCCGTCCCTGGGAGTCTCCAGGCAAGAACACTGGAGTGGGTTGCCATTTCCTTCTCCAATGCATGAAAGTGAAAAGTGAAAGTGACATCGCTCAGTCGAGTCCGACTCTTAGCGACCCCATAGACTGCAGCCTACCAGGCTCCTCCGTCCATGGGATTTTCCAGGCAAGAGTACTGGAGTGGGCTGCCATTGCCTGGCATAAACCACCACCATGCTAGAGGACAACCTTTTGTCTCCCAACCACACCCTGCCCTGACCCCTCCACTCACACCCTCAGACTTATGGAGGCCAGGTACAGGGTGTTCCTGCTAGAGAAACATCCTCCAACTGGTAGAAAGTTACTTTGTATCCCAGCCACCCAGTACACCCACAGCTCCCCGAATAGAGAGGCTTCCTTACCTGGTTCTGCTTTGTCTTAGAAAGGACTGTTTTGAGGCTGGGTTTGAAGGGTCTGCTGGCAGCGGAAGCTGGAGAGCAGTGGGGTTCCGAAGGTATGCGGACCCCGAACCCTAGGCTCTTTCCTGTGAGACCCGGTAAGTTAGGGGGATCATCAGTGACCTAGGGCTGGCCCTGTTCCCCTGGAATCCTTTGCAGTTGTCTCTATTGATCCATAACAAGAGGTCTGGCCAGTCGGTTTGTTCAATAGGCATTTTGTCAACTCAGAATAGCTACCTGTTCCTGGCTGTTAGCAAATGTTTTAGAATCTTCATGTCTTCATTATTGTCCAGGTTCTGAGCGCTGCTCTAGCTATGGAAAGAGTTTCTTCTGTTAACCCTCATGGCTAAGCAGAGGCAGGTGTGAGACAGTGTGATGTGACCGGATCTTCCCAGGGATGTCCATGTGGAGCTAATATTCAAACCCTGACTGTCCGACTGCGGAGATGTATTGCTGCCTCACTGCTTTTTAAAACACCTAGATGTTAAAAATCGGTCAAAATGCTGCTGAATGTGAGTTATCTTCTCTTAGGCTCAGAAGATGTTTTGGATCTTCTAGTATGTTGAGTCCTTAGACCAGGCAGATTTGCCACTCTGTAGTTGTAAGTGGACTCAGCATGGGAACGCTTGTCTCCTTCATGTCTGTCCTTTTCCCATAAAAGCAGCAAACTAGAATCTCCAGGTTTCTGGAGCTTCCTATTGCACTCTGAATTTCAGGAATGTGTTTGGTGAGCACCCGCCCCCACCCCCCGCCACCTTCATTTTGGCGTGTGTCAGCCAGGTGTCTTGCCAGATCCATGAACTGGGCCCTCCTTCGGGGACCCCTCTCTGTCCTGCTCCGTGTACACTCGGGGTCCCCACTGTGCGCCTGTCCCTGGTGCAGGGAGGCCGAATGTCTCCCACCTGCTGCCCCAGACCCCCTCTGGGGGCTCCTCTGCCAGGTGAGGATGCCCTCCGCCTGGGGCCACTGTTGGGAGCCGTCAGAATGCCCTACGTCAGAGTCATTGAGGGGAAGATAGTCATCAGAATGACCCCTAGACATTTAAAGAGTTTATGTTACTTTTTAAAAAAGGAAGGCAATGCTCTGGAATTAATGTTTGGTCCCAAATGGGCTAAATTACTGAAAAATTTTTGTTTAAGGAAAATTCCCTCTTGTGGAGCACTACCTGATTGTGCCAAGGGGGAGCTCCCCAGAGACACCAACTCTGGGAGAGAAGGCTTTGCTCCTCCTGTTCTGCCGCCCCCCTCCCCCGCTCCCAGCCTAGTAACCTTGCAAGATTAATGCCTTCTTCTGATGGTGTGGTCACCCATGCACCTGGGGGTGCTTACTTTCACGATCAGATAGGTCGTCACCCAATGTTGCAGGAAAATATTTTTATCTTTTTTTTCGGGAATGTACACTGCTACTCAGCGAGTTTAAGTCACCTGCCTGTGTCATGGGGCTGGTTGGAACTCAAGTCTGTCTGGGGACAGAGCCTGTGCCTGGCCCTCACCCACAGAAGGCGAGTGTTCCTGTGGTCACAGGGGCCTGAGCATGTGCAAGGAGGGGTTGGTGTGGTGTTGGGCAGGGTCCCAAAGTGGATCCCAGGGATCTCTGGTTCTCGACCTGCCTCGAGTGCCTGGCGGAAGCTCCGGAGCTCCCGGGTGCCCAGTATCCACAGCTGGCCTGGGTTCCAGCCGCAGCTGCTTCCTCGGACACAGCCTTCGTCCCTCTTCCTTCCTCCCTGGGCTGTGACTGTGGCATGTGGCCAACTGCCTGCCTTCCTCGTCCTCTTCTCCTTGGGGGAGTTGATCGCACTTAGTACACCTTGTACAGGCCTGGCTCTGTTCTGAGATTGAGGGGACATCTGTGGGAATTCTCATTCCAGACAGTTGGTGCCACTCCTGACCAGCTTGCACCCGTGGGCTGAGTCTCAGCTCAGGTGGGAAGGGTCTCATCTCCTTTTACTGTGTCCCAGTGGGTGGCAGCATCACAGTGTGACCTGGTACCTCTTGAGTGTAGCTTTTCCAAAACTGGTAATAAACAACAAACCCCAAAGTTTTAAAGACACACTCATGAGATAGGCGCCCCGGTGGAAGACGGCTAAGGCTCTGGAGAGGGGCAGAGGCAAAGGCTTTGCCTGCTCCGCTCTTCTTCCAGGGAGAGGCGGCTGCGGCCCGGGAACCCGGGAGCCGGGCTTTTCACCCCGGAGGATTCAGGCATCCGCTTCCCTCCTGACTCTGGCCCACAGCTGCTCTGTGTTGCATCTCACTTGTCGTGGAGCCTCCCGGGGCATGGGGGAGCAGCCTTCATCTGGTCATGCATGTCGCCCCAGGGCCAGGCTGGGCCATTAGCTGGGGCGTCTGCGTTCTGTACACATTCCTCCCCGACGACGGGGCTGCGGGAACAAAAGGGCTCCATTGACTCTCCTCTGCTCGTAATCCATCACCTTTCTCAGAGGTTTCCTGAGTGCTCACCCCTCACCACTGGTGATTTTGGACGCACATCAAAGGTATGGTGAAGGCAGTGTGCTGGGAGGAGAGAGCTGGGCTCTGGCAGCCACAGATCTGGGGTAAAAGGCACCCTTTGTCCCGAGGCTGCCCTCTCGGTTCCCCACCTGAAGCCTGGGGACGTCACTGCGCTCCGAGGGGCTCACACCAGCACTCCTCCTGGTTGCTGTTTTGTTTGACTGCTGGGTCTCCTGTGTGGCCCAGGGCGTCCCTCCTGCTTGCTGGCTCTTGAGCCATCGCTTACTCTCATTCTGCCGAATTGTCATCCCCCCCCCCGCCCCCACCCCAGGGCTCCTGCTGAAACATCACTTCTGCATTCTTGGAGTCCCTATCTGATCCCTGTCGGGGGCAATCCTTTGTTATAACTGGAGGAGGTGGTGGGGGATGTGGGAGTCTCCTTTAGATCTTGGCCAGGTGTGTTTCCAGTTTGTCTTCTCTGGAAAGATCTGAAGTGGCTGGGGGTGGAGGACAGGGGACACACCTCTGCTTGTGTCCACTGGTGGCTGAGTGAGGCAGGACTGGCTCTCAGCTGGCTAGGTGCATGTTTTCTCTTGTCCTGCCCTAGGAGGGGAGGGGACATTTGTCATCCATGTTGCTCAGGGGTGGGAGGGGGTTTCCAGGTAATGGATGTGCCTTGGTTTCCTAAATTAATTTTTGACTCTTTTTCTACAAAGTAGTTTTTGTGTAATATATTTTTTGTAGACTTGGAAAAAACGGAGAAATGTTAAAAATGCAGGAAAAGTAGCCTAATAGTGCCACCCATGGAGAAGTGTTTTCACCCTCTTGTATGCTGTGTGCATTCTGTTTTTCAAGTTTACCAACTTGAGATCATACGTATTAGCATCAGTGCGGCAGTGTAAGCACTTCCCCACTTGTGACTAACTCTGCATTCACACAAGTGAATTCATTCATACAGTACAGAACCCAGTATGTACATGATGACCATTTATTTGTCCTCTGGTCACTTGCAGCCTTGTGTGCATTCTTGCATGGAGATTGGGCAAGATCCTGGCCAGTCATGTTCTTGGAAGGACTTCTAAGGTCAAAGAACATAAACTATTTTTGATTGTGGTAAAATGCACATAACATAACCATTTTCAAGTGTCCATTAGTGGCACTGATACTTTCATATTGTGAAATCATCATATGCAGAACTGTTCTCATTTTGCAAAACCAGCTCCATCCCCAGTAAGCACTAATTCCTCTTTCCTCCTCCCACAACCCATCAGCTTTCCATTTCTATGAATTTTACTGCCCTAGGTGCCTTATGGAAGTGGAATCATACAATATTGGTGTTTTGTGACTGGCTTATTTCACTTTACTTAATGTCCTCAGGTTCCATCCATGTTGTAGGATGTACCAGGATTTCCTTCTGGAATAATATTTCATTGTAAGTAAAGACCACCTTATCCAGTTTCCCTCGGGTAGACACTTGCATTACTTTCACCTTTTGGCTATTTTGAGTAACTCTTCCCTGAACATGGGTGTGTAGGTATGTGTTTGGGTCCCTGCTTTCACTTCTCTGTGGTGTATACCTAGAAGTGAACACAAGCTTTTGGAAGTCCCTTGAAATATAAGGTCAAATTGCAGTTGAGAAATAGCGCGCTGGCTGAATCCTCTTGGTGCTCACCCTGAGTGCCTGAACTCCTGGTCGGGTTGGCGCCTGCTGGGAAAAACCAGGCCTGCAGGAAAAGGAAGAGAAGACTTTTTACCAAGCTATTTTGACAGATTGTATAAACTCAGTGATTAATGGAATGAGAAAGCAGGAAGAATGTCTTTCATTAAGGAAAAAAAAAAGGAGGCTTTAGGGTTGCTTGGTTTTATTTTTCAATTAAAAGGGTCTGATTTTGTTTCTGGAGAATGGTTTTAATTTGGATAAATGGTTCAGTCTGGGACCCGCATGCCAGAACCTATGATGTATGAGTGCAATTACTCCAGGTTTCCTCAGGAACAACACAGACCTGGGTCCTGCTCCGGCTTAGCCTTGGTGAAATGGCGATGAAGGTGGCTGTGCCTTTGGGAGGCAACTCTTCTGATCAGTACATGGAGCCTGCAGGGCCGGATGCTGGTGGATGCTGGTTAATTTTTACCCTTTAAGAATGTATTCACCATCTCAAGTCAGGAATGCCAACTAGCAGGCCCTACCCCCAGTGCTGGAACATGTTGGGCCAGAATTGCTGGCATCGTTTCCAGTGTGGGCATTTGCAGAGTTGGTTGGGCTTCAAAGGAGGTAGTTCATCCTTATATTGTCCCCTATTACAGAGGCTTCCTGGCTCAGGCCGGGTTCAGGCCCTGGGTCCTGGGCTTTCTACAGGGTGGTATGGTGGGGCTTCTTTGGAGGAAGATGATGGGCTGAAGGATGTATCAGAGTCAGTGAATCCTGGGTGCTTGGGGAAGGATCCATTGGTTGGAGGGTCAGTGAGGGCAGAGGCCTTGGGCAGGAACTGCCTTATGTGTTTCCAGAAGAGGGAAGGGATTGAGGAAGGCAGAAGAATAAAAGGACACCAGCATTCAGCTCCAGAAACTAGGAACCTTGTGTCAAAGTCTTAGCCTTCCATGCTAATGGGGGTGGCAGGTCTCATGAGTGCTGGCCACCTTGGGGCCATGGGGGCTTGGGCAGGGAGCTCAGTCTGCACACAGGAAATGTGCATGGGTGCAACCACAGAGGAGGGACAGCTTACTGGGCTAAGTGGTCAGAGAACTGTGGAGCCTGAAGATATTTTAGCCCTGCAGATCCTGTGGCCCAGGATGAGGGGCGTGCCAACGTGATTGGGGGGCAGAAGTGAAGGTCGGATGGGGGACTGTGGGCCTTGATCTGCAGGAGAAGCGAGTGTGCACCCAGCTTTTAGGGGTGTGGGGCTGAGCCTACCCGACCCCAGGGCGCCCACCTGCATGGCTCCTGAGCTGCCCTGCTGGCTTGTGGAGGGGCGGGGCAGCTGTGCACAGGCCCCTGAGGAAGGTGGTTCTTAGCATAACAAATAGGAAAGTCTTTGGGCTGAGGGCTGGCCAGGCTGATGAAGACTTTGGGTGAGATGGGTGATAGGCAACAAGACAGTGACTTCTTTTGCTCTTTGCTCCTTCCTGCCCCCATTTAAATGCAAAAAAGTCCAAACTATAGGTCATCTGTAAGAGCGTAATGCACTTTTATGGAACGTGTTTCTTGTTAGAAAAACTATCATGACTTAAATGATGTTTAAACATTTATAAAAGTTCCCCATTCGCACACTTACAAATATGTGATCATCTTCCTCTTCCTGGCTTGATTTTTGTTAAGAGTTCGAGGTTTGGGCTTCCCAAGTGGCGCTAGTGGTAAAGAACCCACGTGCTAATGCAGGAGACAGAAGAGACAATGGTTTGATCCCTGGGTGGGGAAGATCCCCTGGAGGAGGATATGGGCAACCCCCTCCAGTATTCTTGCCTGAAGAATCCTGTGGACAGAGGAGCCTGGCAGGCTACAGTTCATGGGGTCACAAGAGTTGGACACAACTGAAGCGACTTAGCCCACAGCGTTAGATGTGTTAGATGTGTATGTATAGACTTTTTATGCTGATGGTTTTCCCAAACCTATATCTATCCTAAGCATTTCCCATATTTCTGCCGTGACTTCACAGTTATCACAGTGATGAGCCTTACAGCCTTGCAGAGTGATGGCTGTGCTTGCATGAGCTCCCAGCTGCTGGGCTGGATTCTTGTTAGAGCGCTGCTTTCAGAAGGTGGAAGAAGCAGCCCTGAGCTCTGGCCTGCTGGGGATCCGCCGGTCGCTGATTTTGTGTGTAGCCCACAGGGGGGTATGTGCAGGCCTGGCTGGGACACAGCCCCTCTACCTAGACTGCTTGTTGTGCCCCGAAGGGCCAGGTTTTCTCCCCTGCTCCTGGGCCCTGCGGGCAGCAGTGGGTGGACGTGAGTGAGGCCCTTGCCCAGTGAGGTCTTCACAAAGGCACCAGGGTCAGGGCCCGGCACTGTGCCCTGTGATCTGCCATGTGCTGATGGGATTACGTGCATTGGAGCTGCTGTCACACTGACCTTGGCTCTGGGAGGCTTTGTGACCAGGAATCTTGGCCAGTGTCCAGCTAGAACCTGTCGGGGCTGAACTCAGCTCTGCAACTAATAATGTTCTAGTGGGGTCCAGACAGGCTCAGCTCTCAGGTTTCACTGCCAAGATAAGTTGGATTAACGGGCTGGAGCTGACGAAGACTTTTGGCCAACAGTGATCTTGTCTGTTCTCCCTCGACCCCTGCGTTTCCCTCCTTCCTTCCATTTGGCCTCACTGGTTGTTTCTGATGCATTCTGTCTGTTGTCAGGCCCATGCACTTTTAGGATATCAGCTTCTCTGTGTCTTCTGATGCTGCTGGAAATAGCACGGTCTTGCCTATTTACTCTGGGGCCAGGGTAAAAAGGGAGTGGGCTCTGCAGTGAACACTGTGGCCTGGGTCCTGCCTCTCTGTGTGACCCTGGGACAGACACCTTGCTCCTCTGAAGTGCTGCTGAACTCAGGGGGTTGGTATAAAGGACCTCCCTGGGTTGTTGGGATAGATGTAATGTCGTGTTGTTGGGATAGATGTAATGTCGTGTACACACTGGACTTCCTGGTGGCACTGGTGCTAAAGAACCCTCCTGCCAATGTAGGAGATGTAAGAGATATAGCTTTGGTCCCTGGGTTGGGAAGATTCTCTGGAGGAGGGCATGGCAACTCACTCCAGTATTCTTGCCTGGAGAATCCCATGGCTGGTGGGCTACAGTACGTAGGGTCGCAAAGAGTCAGACATGGCTGAAGAGGCTTAGCATGCATGTACATACTAGGTGTCTTGTCATTACTTTTCTTTTCACTTTATCGTTCAGCCTTTCTGGGAGCTGAATCCAGAAGGCTTTTCTGCCATGCGAGCCCACCTCCCTGAGATAGAGCTCCTGGGAAGGAGGTGGGTCTGTGGGGCCCCCGAGCTCTTCCCACCCAAGTGCATGTCCTCTGGGAGGGAGCCTGACAATTACAGGTTCACATTGCCCT